ATGTGCCACTTGTAACGTTGGTTTCCATTGTGGTCTTTGTTGCCCAAGGAGATTAAACCCGCATTGGATAACCATCCAATGTGTATCAAGGATTCGGGCGATATTGGATCATTAGAAGTGTAGCCAAATTTGGATAGCAAATGCATCACTACACCCCTTACCACAATATTCCCGGTTTTCTTACATGCCTCTTTGAAGTGATCCCACATTAAATTGCAAAGGTTATATTCCGTGGGTCTATGAAAAAGGGCTAGAGTGAGTACAACCACATCCCCATCCGAGTATGGTGATTGTTGGGGCGACCAAGCAAAGAATTGCACAAAAATTTTAGGAATATCCGGATAAGGGGATGTTGAACGTGACTAATGGACAATTTAGACGCGTTCACCTTCCTTTCTCCGGTCATTTTTGACCATAAAGTGTGCCCGTCAAGTGTGCTCTCCGGTATCCCCCTTTCATGGGGCGTGGGAATGCCGAAGTGTTTCGCAAACTCACGTCTCGTTATTGAGTATTCGTTGTTTAGCCAACGAAACGTGAGTTTGTCGTAGAGGAACTCCGCCGGGTCCTCATGTAGAACAACTTTAGCCGAACTCATCACCTCATAAATCACTTTGTCAACACCATTATATTTCATATCAAAGATCAAATTCATCTCCAATCTAGCAAATAATTCCCTCATTCCATCTAACAAGCCTAGTTGTTCAAGAGCATTATGACATAGGAATCTAGAATGAACTACTTGCCTTTTTATGATGGCCAAAAATCGCTTGCGGTGATCTCCCAGCCCAAATCGGATGGTCTCATACCCCGGAATTGGTCCTCTAGCCGTTGAGCTCTCCGGTTGGTTCCTCTTTGGTGCCATTCTTGCCCAAATGTGGAGCTTGAATTCGAACTTGGGGTTTTGGGGGTAGGTTTTCGGATTTTTAGGGAGAGGGGGAGATATGGTGATTTTTGGGTATGAGGTTGGAGAGGAGGGTGAGGGGAGTGTTTTGGTGGTGGTTTGATGAATTTTGGTTGAGTATTGGTGGAGATATGAAAGCTTGAAGGTTCAAAAATGGGAGATTTGGGGAGAGAGGTTCGAATTTTTGGGATTTGGGGAAGATGAAGTGACCGAGAAAAGGTCTGATTGAGGTTAAAAGTTCGGGTAGCCCGTCAGACCCGATCGGGTATGCTTGTTGTTTGTCTACTCCGGGGTCGGACCCGATCGATTATGCGTGCCACGCGATCGGGTAAAACTCGCCGAAGAAAATCTTTGAAAATGATTTAATTCACCCGATCGGGTGATGACAATACCCGACCGGGTATTTCGCCGATTTTCAAAACCTCGCTCCAGGGGTTTGCACCCGATCAAGTTTGGGGGTACTTGATCGGGTCTTATAATTCAAACTAAAGGTTTATATTTCTTCGAATTATACCCGACCGGGCCTTAGAGGTACCTGATCGGGTACTCTCCTTGTTTGTAGCCCTGACTCGATCGGGTTGAGGGAAATTTGCTCCTCAACTCACCCTTTTTCATATGTACCCGACCGGGTTGCTTGATGAGACCCGATCGGGTACAATACCCTGGGAGGTGATTTTGTCTATTTTCATCCTCTTTTTGGCATGGATCCGAACGGGTAAGTGACGATGACCGATCGGAGGTTTTTCGGGGCTTTGAAAACATGATTTTTCCCTTATTTTCTTTTGAGAATCCCCCCCCCCCATTCTCCCAAAGTTGACATTCGAAAACAAGAATTTGAAAAGAAAAATTGAAAAATGTGTACCTTGGCTTGGGTTGCCTCCCAAGAAGCGCCTTAGTTAACGTCGCGGCACGACGTTATTTTTATTTTATTTTTCAGTTTTTATGTGGGATCATGAACATCCCTTTTCTCCGAATTCAAGGCCCTGTTTGGCCATGTTTCAATTTTATCTTTGGCCCTTTTCCAGCAAGACCGGTTTTTTATTTTTGTTACCACCTCAAGTTCAGGTGGTTTCAACTTATTTTCAAGAGGTTCGATGAACGGTGGTTGATTTAGTATTTCCCCAACATCAAAGATTGGTTCAATTTTTTCTTCAAATGGGGAGTGATGTTTAATAGAATTATAAATGTTATATTCTATTTTCTTTCCATCAAATTCCATAGTTAAAAATCCGCTAGAAACATCAATTTTTGAGTTAGCGGTTTTTAAAAATGGTCTCCCCAATAAAATAGGGACTTCATGTTTATCACTCTCCATTTCAAGTACGTAAAAATCTGCAGGGAAAACTAGATCACCTACCGATACAAGTACGTCTTCCACTAGCCCTTTTGGAGAAACACTTGACCTATCGGCTAGTTGGATTATGACACTGGCTTCTTTTAAAGGTCCAAGTTCCAAAGAATTGTAAAGAGTATAGGGGATCACATTAATTGATGCCCCTAGGTCCAACATGGCCTTAGAAGAAATGGTGTCTCCTAGCTTGCATGGTATAGTGAACATGCCTGGGTCAGTGCATTTTTGTGGAAGTTTCTTTTGGAAAACTGCCGAGACATGTTCACTAACTTTAATTTTTTCTTTTCCTCTTGAGTGGTGTGTCCTCTTGACTGTGCATAATTCTTTAAAGGATTTAGCAAATCGAGGGACACTTTTTATTAATTTGAGGAGTGGAATATTTACCTCGCACTTGGCAAATGTCTCGTACATGTCTTTGTTGTTTTTCAGCGGCCTTATCTCCCTTAATGCTTCGGGAAATGGGGGTTGTGGTTCGTATGATGCCAATGGTGGACTCTTTGTGGTCATCTCCCCCAGTTGATCTTCCTCCTCAACTTCAACCAGTTCCTCTTCAGCCTTCTTCCTTTGGACTTCTTTTCCTTCCAACTGTTTTCCGCTTCTCAACATGATTGCATTAACATGTTGTCTTGGATTTTGTTCCGTTTGAGAAGGGAGTTTTGATGACTCTTTTGCTTCTAGCCTGCTCACGGCTCCGGCTATTTGACTCATTTGATTTTCCAGATTTGAAATGCTGGATTTGGTCTCATTTTGAAATTGTACCATGTTTTGTTGCATGGTAGTTACGCTAGAGGCAAGATTCCGAATCATGTCCTCCGTGGACATGTTAGAGTTTTGGCCTTGATAATTTGGGAAAGGTTGTTGGAATGATTGATTTTGTTGTTGTTGAGGGTTCCCATATCTTAAATTGGGATGATCTCTCCACCCCTGATTATAAGTGTTAGAGTGTGGGTCGTACCTCTTTTGTTGATGTCCTTGAAAACCCAAGGCGTTGACTTGTTCTTCTTGGAGAGTTGGGCATGAGTCGGTAGGATGCCCTTGTTGTGTACATATGCCGCAGACCTTGACCTCTTGGGTTCTAGGATTTAAGAGAAAATCCTTAACCAAAGAAGTCAAGCCGGCAACTTGACTTTCCAAAGATGAAGATGATTCCGCCACGGCAACTTTACGGGTTGAGGATCTCCCGTTGTAATGCCTAGAGTTCTCGGCCAACTCAGAGAGGAGATTTCTTGCTTGAGAAGGGGTTTTGTTCACAATGCCCCCTCCGCATGCCGCATTCACCATTCGCCTATCGTGTTCCGCAAGACCATCATGGAAGTAGAGGATGAGGTCTTGCTCCGTGTACCCATGGTATGGGCAACTGGCGCAAAGCTTTTTGAAGCGCTCCCAATATTCGTAAAGTGATTCATCATCACCTTGTTCGATATTGCTGATTTGCTTCTTTAAAGATGATGAAATGGAAGCTGGATAATACCTTTCCAAGAAGCATTTTTTCATGGCCGCCCATATGTCTATACTTCCCGAAGGAATGTAGAAAAGTCAATCCTTTGCGGTGTCCTTCAAGGAGAATGGAAAAGCTCTGAGCTTGATTTGCTCCTCCGTTGGGGCACATGCTCGTGCATACAATATGAAACTCCGAAAGATGTTTGTTCGGATCTTCCCCCCTTAGGCCATGGAAGGATGGCAAAAGATGAATGAGTCCTGATTTGAGCTCAAATGTATTACCCTCATCAAGAGTGAGGAAGGTAATACATAGCGGTTGTTGATTCAGGTTTGGAGCCGTGAGCTCCCTCAATGTTCTTGTTTCTTGAGCCATGGTGATTGGCTCTTCAGATTCGCTAGAGCTAGAGCTAGCGTTTGAGGATTCCTCCGAGGGTGTGTGCGGAAATAAATTTCTCAACCTCTCGAAGGCTTGTTCTATTTCGGGGTTTGCTTGATAAGTGATTTCGTTTATTGAACGATATCTGACCATATACTTCACAAAGCTCAGAAAATAGAAGAAGAAGAAGAACTCTTTATATTTTAATCAATTATTATTATTTTTTATTTTTCTTGAAATAAAATAAAAATAAAAATAATTGCCTCTCCCCGGCAACGGCGCCAAATTTGACGTGCACTTTGTCGTGTATGCACTCAAAATAATAATCAATACGACACTAATACGTAGTATAGTGTAGTAAGGTTCGTATCCACAGGGAAAGGAACACTTCTCTTTTTATAGAATTAGAAATAAGTAACAAAGGAGGTTTTTATGATTGGTTTATGAACTTAAATTATATTTAAACACAAAGATGAACGAGTTATGTGGTTTAATTAATGAGAAGAAGACTTGGCTTTGCTTTTATCCACTTAATGAAGTGTTCGTCGATCCCGGTTATATCTTTAACTATCTTCCTCTCGAATACTCAATCGAGGAGTATATCCAATTCATCGAGGGTAGTTATTAATAACGAGACGCGTTCATTAATAAAACTTACTACCGAGTTAATATAGAACACGCGCCATATATTCACTTGATAGTAGCAATAAAATAGAGATGAAAACGATTGAGATTGATAACCTCAACACAAGCGGTTTATCGGTTTAATCAATATAATTAATTCCCCTTAGGTTATTAACCATGAGACGCATGCATTAACAACCCAAGTTTACTACCGTGAAAGGATCGAATTAATAACAAGCGTATTAATCGACCGATTCTAGTATTAATCAATATATGAAACAAAACTAGTTGATCCTTTAAGTAATGCTCAAAATATTAATATGTAATAGGAATAGGAATTAATTGATATTCAAGGAAGAAGATTAAATAAAATAACTCACAACTTACAATTCATTAAGCTTCAAAGTAGCAAAACCAAGATGGAAGAGTTTAGCTCCTCATTTGGAGACTAAACATGAAGAAAATATAAAGAAATAACTTGTCTAAACTGAGCTTAGAAGTATATGTGAATTGGTGATCTTTTGTGGGAAGGAAAGGGGTCTATTTATAGGGAAATAGAGCATGCATGGTTGTGTACCCGATCGGGTATAGAAGGCTCCCGATCGGGTACACTCAGAAGCTTCCCAGAAGCTGAAAATTAGGGTCCTACCCGATCGGGTCTGTCGGTCACCCGATCGGGTATGACAATCGAACATGGCCAAAATCTTTCCCGCATGTTGCTTGGTTCCCGGGTTGATCCGATTTGATTTTTCAGAAGGGTACCCGACCGGGTACAGACCACAAAATGAGATCTTCACTTTTTTCTTGCATTTTTGCACCTTCCTTCCACTTGTGATGTTCACCGGTGGTCCCCAAAGTGTTCTTGGACCTGTTTGAGCTCAGAATAAACCTAATCTAAACAAATTACAAATATTTTACAAACTAAACTATTACACCAAAAGTGTGTAATTTCCAAAGTAACAATCTCTTTAAACTAATTAAAAACACAAATATAAACATGGAAATTACATGAATGTCGCCGTTGCCGGGGAAATTATACCGATTCTAGTATTAATCAATATATGAAACAAAACTAGTTGATCCTTTAAGTAATGCTCAAAATATTAATATGTAATAGGAATAGGAATTAATTAATATTCAAGGAAGAAGATTAAAGAAAATAACTCACAACTTACAATTCATTAAGCTTCAAAGTAGCAAAACCAATCATTAAGAACTCTTTATTATTTTAATCAATTATTATTATTTTTTATTTTTCTTGAAATAAAATAAAAAGAAAAATAATTGCCTCTCCCCGGCAACGGCAACCACTGAGAAAACCAGCAGCATGTGGACGCAAGGCCATGGCGGGGATATCACCAATTTGATTCTCAGGGAAGCCCAAAAGAACCCTCGAATAATGAGGGAACTAGAAGATGTTATGCGCCAGATGGAGGATGAACACGATCCGGAATACACGGTGTACACAGCGGAGATAGAGCGTACATCCCCATCACCAATCCACCGCATGCAGTCGTTCGAGGAACATATTGGTGAGGGAGAGTCATCCTGAGCTTTAGCGCATACACGAATGGGTAGGGGAGGCCACATAAGATCAAACACACCTAGGCAGAGGCAGCACATCCCCACTGATTGAATCCCGTTCGTGCCCAAATACGGAGCACAGTTCAGGGAGGCAACTCCTATGATGAACCCAGTGGGCCAGAGGTTCCAGTATGTTGAAGGGGGTGGAGAACCTTTCAAACAAAGACGACGAGAAACAGCTACAGCCCATGCATGGAATGCCCCAGAATTTGTAGATATGAGGACACCACACCAAACGGCACAAGATGCGGCATTGGCCGCCATGCAGAGACAGATTGATGAGTTCGCTCGTCATCAAAACAGGACCCCCCCCCCCCCCCAACCCGTGTGGGGATAACTTCTCCATTCACAAGAGAAATCATGAACGCTAAGATCCAGAGGAACTGCAGGCCCCTGGTCGGCCTGGTTTACAAAAGGGTTGGAGACCCTAAGCTAATGCACATTTGATGAGTTACCAAGGTGGGCTAATGTTGTTGGGAGCCACTGATGAAGCCATCTCCAGGTTGGTTTTCAGCACACTCTGAGGCCCGGCTCAGGAATAGTTCAGCTAGGCTCGATCGGGAGTTTTGCCAAGTTGTACACCTAATTCTTAGTGCAGTTTGCATCAAGCGCCACCTCGAAACGACACTTCAGCTCTCACAAGTTTCCGCCAAGGGTCGAAGGAATCTCTCACCCAATTCTTGACAAGACGGAGAGACGAGACTCTGAAAGTTGAAAGTTTGACTGAATGTACCGGTATCACTCTTTTTACCAACGCTCTCCAGACCGGGGATCTGTATCGTGATTTAAAAAAGAATACAGACACTAGTTATGCTGAAGTACTAGACTGGGCGTGAAAGCATGCTGCCTTGGAAGAGGAGGTCATGATCAGGGACAAGGTCACTCCACCTGCTGCACCTATGAAATTGGTCGATCGGGTCCTATCCCAGCGGCCACAACAGTTCCAAAGCTGAAGCGCTTCACCCCGCTCGCCCTCTCAATAGCATCCATCCTTCATCATGAAAAGGATATCATCCCCTCCCGCCGTCAGATACTAAGGCCTTTATGGGGAGTGAGGATGCGTATTGTCAATATCACAAACGGAGGGGGCATGCGACCAAGCATTATCGTGCACTGCAGATCGCTGTTGAGGAACTTATCCAACACGGACATTTGGATACACATAATGTTGGAATAATTCGGCCGGATAAACCTGCAAAAAGAGTTCCTCAAGAAAAATAATCTAGCTCGAGACGCGTCAGACGTTGTCCTCAAGAAAGTATTTTCAACTATCGAAAATCTTTCCCCAAGATATAACGAGCTCTTCGGCGTAAGCCGGTAACAGAACAACGAGAGTGAAAATTATATTAATCCAGCAGAGTAATTTTGTGTGAGGGAGTTTTAGCTCGTATTTTTTATCTCAAGATGATATGTTATGTCCTAAGAAGCTCATGGGGATGGTCGGACATATATATACACAGGCAGTATGAACGTTGCTGGCAGCTAAAAAGTTAGTCTTTAATACCAACGTTCGTAGTAGTAAATACCATTAATGTTGAGAAGTAAAGTAGTGACTCCCACGTTCATGAGCATAATTAAAACTTTAAGGCTCAATCCAAAAAAAAATGAACGTTGTAGACCTCATGCCAGGTGAAAAAGTGGTGTGGCCATATTAAAATCATTTATTGAACATTTTGATTGCTGCTCAAAACAATATACATGTTCAGGTATATTAAGATTATAAACGTTGGAGCAAGTATTCTTGACACCACGTATTCTTTGTTTAAAATTCATTAAAAGTATTTTTTTAATAGAATATATATGAAAATATCGAGTTTATAAAATTGATTAATATAGTATCATTCATTTGAAATACTCTCAATATTTCCAACAATCCCCCACATATTTCAAATGAATTTTTTTAGATGTTAAAATTAGTTTAGAAAATTTCTGCTGGATTAAAGGAATGAGACTTTAAATTTGGTGTCCGTAGACTTGAACCAAACCGAGACGATTAAGTCTTAATAAACCGAGCATTTGGTGAAACGTATAGTTTATTGAACCAATAAGCTACTATTGGTAAATCAGGGTCTTAACGGTCGTGTCTCACCCCGCACAGTTTCTCGTTATCATGTCGTTGTGCGCCGTAAGGCCATGCGCGTGCTTGGTGTTCATGAATGCTCTATAAGTTTTGTCATGCTTCATGGAGGCGGCCCCACCTCACACTCAATCATCAAATGTGTAACGCTTTTGCACACCACCCTTAAGTTAAGGGTTATGATAATCATTAAGAGCTTTTAGCTCACCCTCTCGAAGAATGCGGTTTCTAGCCTATATCTCACATCATGGAAATGGACAATTTTAGTTAGGCTAGCAGAACTAAATGGAAGACTTGTCATTATCCATTTGAACTTGCTTCATGGGATCTCCAATCACACTAGTTGGGTTCTTATCCCCATTTGTTTCAAAGTGACAATAGTCCCAATTTCGGTTATATTATCTTTTTACATCCTAGGCTAATTCCTTCAAACTTCACAAAATTAATGGAAATAATTCCATTCTCAAACATCATTGCACCCATTTTTAAGGGTGAATGGATATCCATTATTTTAATCTATCTGATGTGAGTATACTCAAATGTCGTCATTGTATCCCGGCAATACAACGAATAACTCTCAATAAAATATAACATCAATGTGAATCTCTAGTACATCAAATAATTCTCAATAAAATATATACCAACATTGTACCATTATAATACAATGGATAATTCTCATATAACATCATTGTACCGCTCTACAACGGCTATTTCTCAGTAAAAGCTATCATCGTTGTATTAATATATAACAACAGATAATCTCAATCAAATATACCATAATTAATGGTACATCTTAAATATCTCAATAACCGCCTCAACGCAGTCTAATGATCCCCATTTAGGTTATTAGTATATTGGCTCAATCTTCCGACAACATAAACTATGTCGGGCCTCGTATGAAGTGTAATAAACATCCAATAATTTGGGAATACTCATATTGAGCTCAGGATCACCTCTATAATTTTTTTAGGTGTATATGAGAGTCATAAGAGATACTCACAGTAGTGACATCGAAATGTCCAAATCTCTTTAGAAGTTTTTCAGCATAATACTATCATCCTTCTTTATGACTTTCATACCCAAAATCACATATCATTCACATACAAGCAAGTAATAATGCACACAACTTTTCACATTTAGTGAAAACATACTTATCTACTTCTACTGAGGTAAAATCATAAATAAATAACACTACGTCAAATTTTCCATTCCATTATTTTGGAGCTTGTTTCAACCCATATAAAAATTTGATCAACTTACACGTACACTTAGTGTTCCTGACCAGTAACCGCATGACCGCCGGTTGCACCATATAAATTTCTTCCTCTAGCTCTCCATTTAAAAACACAATTTTAACATCCACTTGATGAAAAAAATTGTGAATAGAGTCGATTTCAGCTTATATGGCCCCAAGAAAAAATGTTTTTTTAAGAAATAGTTTCTGAATAAGTCAAAAATTCATCATTAATAAGATATGTATAAAAATCATTTCTGAATAGCTTCTAACTTCTTCTCAAAGAGAATATTCATCATTAAAAGAATAATTTTCTTTTAACGGATCACTATCACTAGATGGTTCATCATTAAAGGTTTCATTTCCTTGTAATGGATTATACTCACTATATGGTGTAGGGTTGGGTTCGGTTCTTGCGGTTCGGTTTTGACCTAAAACCAAATATAGAATTGAAGTAAAAAGTTCGGTTCGGTTTCGGTTCGGTTTTACACTCCAAAACTTGGAACCACGGTTCGATTGGTTCGGTTTGTTTCGGTTCGGTTTCGGTTTTTTCGGTTTTTTACCAAAAAATTCTCACTTGATTTAAAATTGATATAATACTTAGAGGGATCAAACATATTACATAAAGAATGCAAGCACAATACAATAAAAAATAAAATAAAAATGGGAAGAGATAAATATGTCTTGAATTATATGAGTATGCGAGATGGACAAAACTGTACATATTATTGATTTAATTTGTTTGTGAGTAGTTCGAAAAAAGTTCATGAATATATACGTTATATGTGATATAGTTGAGATGAATATTTATTGTTTTATCAATACAAAATCTTTAAGTTATCTAAAAATAAAAGTTAATTACTACTAATAACTGGTAAACACATATTATCATCATTCAATATAGCTACATTATTACAGACAATGTATGTGTAAATGAATTTATAAACTAAGTTAAATTAAACATAATACAAACATTGTTTCTCTAACACAAGAAAACCAAAGACTATTGATGATTTAAGATTAATTAGAATTAATATTTAACAATTAACATATAAATTTCATATTTTAAATAGTTCGGTTTTTTCGGTTCAGTTCGGTTTTGAAAGGTAAAAACCAAAACCGAACCAAACAACTTCGGTTCGGTTCGGTTTTTTACATTCGGTTTCGGTTTCTTAGCAGTTCGATTTTATTTGGTTGCGGTTCGATTTAATTTGATTCGGTTTTCGGTTTTCAGTTTTTTGGACCCAGCCCTAATATGGTGCAACGGTCTTGTGCTCAAATTTCAAAGGACACACATTTTTAAAAAAAAAATCAGCATTTTTGTTTCAACACGTATATATAGATAATCATATATGCATCATTTAGTGTGTACACATTCTCCAAAAAGGATCACATTAATATCAACAATAATATAGCTTAAAGTATTGCACATTTACACACTATTTCTTTCATTAAGAAAAAATATATATATATGATCCACTGTTTCAATTTATGCAAAAATAGCCAAGAGTTATAAAGCTCATTTTCGCTCAATGAGACAAGTAATAATAATTTGACTAAGCACCCCCACAATTTTAGATATTTAAAAACAGGTCCATAGCCCTTCTAAAATTCACAGAAATCATTAAATAAAATATATGTGTCCACTCCATCCGATCTAACTCTCTTAATTGATTTTTCTACCTCAGATTTATACACTAAAGATTTATCAGAAGCCTCATTTTTATTTGTAAGCACTTAAACGTTAGTGTATCTAGAAAAATCATCTATAAAGGTGACATTTTGTTTTCACCTCTAATCGTGGGAATTTTTAAATCACCTAAATCCGTGTGGATTAAAATATGCAATTCCGATTCCATACATGTAGAGGGAAAAGATTTTTTAGTTAGTTTAGATTTAACACAAACATCATGTTTTTCTAGTGTCATTTCTTTTTTTTTACTAGAAATCAAACAGACTCATTTATCATTTTAATATATGAATTACTTGCACGTCCTAGTCTAGCATTCCAAACATCGTAAGAGTCAATCAAATAAGCAGAAGCAACATCATGCAATAATTCACAATTACTAAGCACAAAAAGTCCATTCTTACAATAGTCATTTCCTATAAAAACATCATTTTTGGTCATAACAAATTCGTTACAACCAAAAGTAACTTTAACCCAACTTTTCCCAAAAGAGAAATAGAAACTAAATTAGTTCGGATCTCGAGCACATAAACACGTCATTTAGTGATAAAGTTTTCCCCGATGTGAGATTAAGAAGAACTTTCCCTTTTCCATGCACCTTAACGGTTTTTGAGTCCGCTAGGTACACGAGCTCTTCGTCATCTCCTATAATAGTATAGAAGGTAAAAGCATTTTTGTTTTTACAAATATTATGGTAGCCCCGGAGTCTACCACTCACTCATTCACATCATTAGTTTTACAACTATGAGAAACAAACGCAATAAAATTATCATCACTACAAATTAAGTTTAAACTAGATTTTAGTGGGTTGTTGTTTTTCATAGTTGTCATTTTATCACTAAATAAACGAATAACATTTTTCTTAAAAAGTGGAGTTAAAGTATGACTTATTGTAAGTAGGAGAGTGGAGAGACTAACCATTATACGTAGAAGACTTTTGTGAACGTTTATCCGATTAATACGGCTCCCTATGCGGGTGTATCACAGCCTACTTCGCAGCGCACATGTAAAGATCAGGGCCGTCTAATGAATTTAGAGGCCCCGGTTCTAAGTGCAAATTTGAGGCCCCACATATAAATAAAAATAAATCACATATAATAACAAAGTCATAAAGTTCTTTAAAAAACAAAGTTATAAACTTCAACAAAATTAATTGTTCAAGTGTTCAAGGGAGAATAGAATCAATCCTCAAATAATAGAAGAGTAATACTGTAATAAAGAAGATGTAATTCGTACAAACCTCAAACTGCGACTGGCTTGGTTGCCGCTGCGGTGAAGTGAAACTACGGAAAAGAGCCAAAGGAAGGCCGAAGGCCAAGTGGTGGTCCGGTGAAGCTGGCGGGCCAAGCGGTTGAAGAATGACTGGAATTCTGAAAATCTGGAATGAGGCGGCAGTGCGGCACCGGCAGAAATCAGAATCGCAAAAAGAATAAGCGGAGAAGTCGGCTGTATTGCGTATTTGCGTTAACCTAGCGTCCTAGATTTTGGGGTGAAAGAGGCGGAAGACTGGAACAGTAGCGTCGTTTAAGTCTTTGAGGCAGCCTCTAATTGTTGTTGTTATTATTTATTTATTAATATTATATCATATAATTATATAATAATACTATTACTAAAAAATTGGGGGGGGCCAAAATTGTGGGGGCCCAAAATTGTGGGGCCCTGTTCCAACTAACCTAATGAACCGACTAAAAAACGGGCCTGGTAAAGATAGCTTAGCCCCGATGAGTGCGACAACAACGCCTTGTACTGAGACCATATGTGCAGGCATATCCGACGCCAAATACTTTCTTGAGATTGTTGGAATAATTTGGCCGGATAAACTTGCAAAAAGAGTTAGAAAAATAATTTAGCTCGAGACGCGTCAGACGCTGTCCTCAAGAAAGTATTTTCGACTATCGAAAACATTTCCCCAAGATATAACGAGCTCTTCGGCGTAAGCCGGTAACAGAACAACGAGAGTGAAAATTATATTAATCCAGCAGAGTAATTTTGTGTGAGGGAGTTTTAGCTCGTATTTTTTATCTCAAGATAATATGTTATGTCATAAGAAGCTCATGGCCGGACATATATACACAGGCAATATGAACGTTGCTGGCAGCTAAAAAGTTAGTCTTTAATACCAAAGTTCATATTAGTAAATACCATTAATGTTGAGAAGTAAAGTAGTGACTCCCACGTTCATGAGCATAATTAAAACTTTAAGGCTCAATCCAAAAAATCGAACGTTGCAGACCTCATGCCAGGTGAAAAAGTGGTGTGGCCATATTAAAAATCATTTATTGAACGTTTTGATTGCTGCTCAAAACAATATACACGTTCATGTACATTAAGATTATAAACGTTGGAACAAGTATTCTTGACACCACGTATTCTTTGTTTAAAATTCATTAAAAGTACTTTTTAATTGAATATATATGAAAATATCTAGTTTATAAAATTGATTAATATAGTATCATTCATTTGAAATACTCTCAATATTTCCAACACATAAAACATCTCTAGAGAACAAATAAATACTCTAGGATCCTTTACATGGAAATCACATGAGTGCATCCAACAACACCAAGAGCACGACTATATGTAACAATTATGTCAATACCAAACATCAATATAGAAAGATCATTACAATCATTTTACTAATACAAATATCATCAAAATGAAGCAACTCATGCAGTGTTTACCTTCTCATTTGGAAGAGCAACACATCTTGTAATACTTAGCCTCTACAAAGTCACATTCTATTCAATTCTTAAAGAGAGGATATAGGAATAAGATAGAATAAGAAAGAAAAAAATTAGATGCGAAATTCTAATAAATTTCTTTCAATGCACTCTAATAAGCAATAATATAGGGACTCATAATTCATGAGTTTTGTTTGACTAAAACGCACAACCTAGTGATGACAGCTCTCCAAATATTAAAGCCCGAACAATATGTTGTAAGTGTATCCTAGGTTTGTATTATGACCTATACGACTTGAAAGGCGACAAAAATACTTTTATTATTTCATGAGGCATGCACATGGAATCTTAAAGGCCATAGTACAAACTAGACAACTACTAAGAGTGCCAAACCTAATTTTATAATCATTGAATGATGAATTTCAAAAGTTCAACAAATAAGGGCTCGTTCAATCTCCCTCTCAGTTTTTAGTTTTTTATATTATGATTTAAAAAGGTATATGATGTATATCTCTATAACTAACTCAAAAGTAACTGTACGTATAATACTATGTTAATTTTGAAAACTGAAAATAGCTTCTTCTGTTTTTCATAGATTCGTTTGTGTAAAAAAAACATAAAATGGTACCTAATGAGGCCCTAAGAAAAGGGTAAATATTGGTGAAACCACTGAAACCCAAACCTATTATTTGCTACGGAGTACATTAGTAGTGTTAAAGTCAATTATTCTAGACTTTAGAGGCACACAAACAAGAGCAACGGGCATGCTTAGCTCATGAGGGTAAGTCATTATGAAGGCAACTATTTTGCTAATGAAGAGGCAACTGCAACTTCTCCAGGTCCTAGATCACTGGTACACTTCTCATCTGGAAAATTTCCAGTCAATACAACTAATCTGACAAACAAAGCCAAGAAAAACATTTTCACACAACAAAATAAAGGATTGGCAAAATTCTTGCCCCTTTTCGCAAAATAAATTTTGGTCTACTCATATGCAGGAAATTGGACAACAGCAGCAAATGTTAGTAATATGTCTCTGCTGATAGTTCCAGATACACTAAGTCTCAACTAAAACTGAAAGTGAATGATAACAAAATAAGGAAAAGGAATACATTCCATGCTGTCGAAGAGTGCTTTCTTGTGCTAGGTCTACCATGTGAAAATAGCTCTTGGCAACAACATAAGAGCCTAGCTGTAGCCAAATTAGAGATGATAAGAGGATTTCCACTACAACAAAGCTTATGTTCGTCAAATTTGTGAAAAACGTTCAAGATAGAAGTGATTCGTAAATCGTATTCACACCTGTTCGAAAGTCCGGTCGGGTTAGTCTGCGGATTGCAAATTCCCTAGATTGGAAAGCCGATAAAGTATAACAAAAATTGAAGTGAAAGTAAAATGCTGAAAATCTCAAACACATACGTGCAAATCAGAAAGTGTTAGAAAATACAAGAGGTTGTTGGTATATGAATATGTTAAGTGATTTTAGTGAGATGTAGTGTAGAGGAGGTGTTTTAGAACAGAGCTCTTGTCTCTAGAAAAGATATATTGTATTGATGTTTCTTGGTTTGTTTGGTGAGCAAATGAGTACAATGAGTCCTATTTATAGGAGCTAGAGGATCATTCTAGATCCTTATTAAATACTAGGATTCTAGAGTATTCTACTTCTATTTAATCTAGACTCTCCTTAAGAATTCTCTAGTAGAGAATTCTCTAGAACCTTTTTAGCCATAACTTTCTAGAACATTTATAGATTTAACTACATAGAATATTCTAGATAAATGCATCACTATTTAATACTCCTCCTTGATGCATTTGTCGGTGACTCCGAGCATTCTTCTCAGAAACTGGAATCTGTCTCTTGGCAGGGCCTTCGTGAAAATATCTGCCAATTGTTCTTCTGTTGGGCAGTACCTCATCTCAATATGCCCCTTTGCTTGGACATCTCTCAAGAAGTGATACTTGATATCGATGTGCTTAGTGCGATTGTGCTGAACTGGATTTTTAGCCATCGCAATAGCTGATTTGTTGTCGCAAAATATCGCAGTCGCAGAACTTTGTAATTCTCCCATGTCTTCTAATATTCTTTTTAGCCATATAGCTTGGCATGCTGCTCCGGCTGCTGCAACATACTCGGCTTCGGCTGAAGACAGTGCAACAGAATCTTGCTTCTTTGATCCCCATGAGGAAATTCCCGAACCCAGCTTAAATGCGTAACCGGAGGTGCTTTTCATGTCATCTTGAGATCCAGCCCAATCACTGTCGCTATATCCACTTAGTCGTGAGTCAGGACTTGTTTTGTACCAAATACCATAATTGATAGTTCCTTGTAGGTACCTAAGGAGTCTCTTTGCCGCTCCATAATGAGTCTCAGTTGGACTTTCCATGAACCTCGAGAGCAAGCTTGTAGCATACATTATGTCCGACCTCGTAGCCGTTAAGTAGAGTAGACTCCCAATCAAACTCCGGTAAATGGTAGCATCCGTTGGCTTTGACCCATCTTCTTTCTTTAATTTCTCATTAGGAACCAACGGAGTAACGACGGCTTTGCAGTCTTGCATTTTGAACTTCTTTAGCATGTCCTTAATATATTTTTCTTGAGATAAGAAGATGCCTTCTTCTTCTTGACTTATCTCCATGCCAAGGAAGTAATGCATTAATCCCAAGTCACTCATCTCAAAGGTGTTCATCATGTCTCTCTTAAATTCTTCAATTAATTTTGAATTATTTCCCGTGACAATTAAGTCATCAACATATAGAGAGATGATGAGAATGTCAGTTTTACCTTGGGATTTGATGTATAGTGTAGCCTCGTTCTTGCTCCTCCTGAACCCTTGACGGGTGAAGTATCCATCAATCTTGCTATACCAGGCTCGTGGAGCTTGTTTGAGCCCGTAAAGTGCTTTCTTTAGACGAAGAACTTTTCCTTCTTCTTTGATGAATCCTTCTGTTGCTCCACATACACTTCTTCTCTTAGTTCTCCATTTAGAAAGACTGGTTTAGCGTCTAGCTGATAAATTTTCCATTTCTTTTGAGCTGCAAGAGTTATGAGTGTTCTTATTGTGTCCATCCGGGCAACTGGTGCAAACGTCTCTGTGTAGTCAACTCCCGGTATTTGAGCATACCCCTTTGCAACCAGTCTTGCCTTATGCTTCTGAATTGAGCCATCGGGGTTCAGTTTTGTTTTGTACACCCATTTGACTCCAATAACCTCCTTGTTAGAAAATACAAGAGGTTATTGGTATATGAATATGTTAAGTGATTTTAGTGAGGTGTAGTGTAGAGGAGGTGTTTTAGAGTAGAACTCTTGTCTCTAGAAAAGATATATTGTATTGATGTTTCTTGGTTTGCTTGGTGAGCAAATGAGTACAATGAGTCCTATTTATAGGAGCTAGAGGATCATTCTAGATCCTTATTAAATGCTAGGATTCTAGAGTATTCTACTTCTATTTAATCTAGACTCTCCTTAAGAATTCTCTAGTAGAGAATTCTCTAGAACCTTTTTAGCCATAATTTTCTAGAACATTTATAGCTTTAACTACATAGAATATTCTAGATAAATGCATCACTATTTAATAGAAAGAAGTGAGGCAGTCAAACAACGATTCGGCGAGCAGCGAAGCAAGACAGGGAGATGCCGCAGAGGTCGGATACGGGAGACCAGAGAGCGCAACCATCGCAAGGAAGCAGGGGAACAATCGCGCTGGTCTGTCTCTTCTACTTGACTATTTCAGTTCGATTGATGGTGAGTTCGTGAGGATGGAGGAACAAGAAGGAATGAGGAGAAGGACTGCCAGGAATAGACGATTAGTACACTCTCGATTTGGTTTTTGATTTACGATTTA